AAAAAAATGTATGACTTAAAATATCCATCAAAGTTGAAATGGGTCATATTGACCCCCACGCGACTATGAACGTTATAATTTTTTTTTGGACTTGTATTTTTTTTCAAAATATCGTTTTATCGTAAATGCAATGTTATAATTGATATAATATTGTGGAATTGGGATTATGTGGATCTGCCACCGTCTGTGCAATTAAGTTTTAAAAATAAATAATCTATTGAGAATTTCCACTACTCGATGATACGGAACAAATACGAACTAAACATGTAATAAATACATCCCGTCGCAATGTGGACACATTGATTATCGGTGCCTCATTTACAATTACCACTATTCACATTTACCCCTCCTGACCCTACTCGTATTATAATAATTAAATTGTATTGTAATATTAATAATAAAAAAATTCAATTAAGAAAAATGATCATGTAAATGTAAATACACATAAAACTAGTAAATATAAGACATGTTTGAGCTCAAAGAAATACAAGAAAAATTAATCAAAATACATTTTGTAATAGTAAAAGCTTTTATTTACCGTCTAAAAAATAAGATATTGCAGTTAAAATAATTTTTTTACAAACCAAAATATTTTAATGAAATTTTGAAAATTAAGTTTTTTTTTTTTTTTCGTAATGTAATTTTTAGTAATGCACATAATTTTGTCATTTATTTATTTGTTAATTTTAATTTTTTAATTTTTATCCATATTTATATATCATATGCTAACAAATAATGTCTTTGAATTTAAAAAAATGAACTTTTTTATACATATTTTATACTTTTTTAGAAAGGGGGTCTAATAGACCCCCACGCGACTATGAACGTTAAAAATAAGTACGCGCCTGCTTAAGGGTTAAAGTGTTTCATGACATATACTAACACTAATAATTTTTGAAACCTTTAATATATTTTCCCATGAGCGTTTCTGATAAATATTAAGCCCACCGCATACATACTTTTATTTCTTGTACGTATTTGTATATGTAAGATTTTATAAAAATATTTTGTAATAAAAGTATTTTTTTTGTATACTCATAAATGTATATATATTATGTACACTGTAATTAAATTTGTATTAATATATTTTTCCAAGCCTCAAGCTCATCATTTAACTATTTAGTACCAGGTTACTAATTAAGCACTTAAGGTAATTTTCTAGACTCCCTTAGAGACGTTTTTTGGTATTTGATACATGATCTTATAATATTACCTTTTACCATGACTTAACTCATGTATGTATGAACATTAAACATATTTTTGGATTGAATGTTGCTTTTGTAAAGCTTTTTAATCAAGTTTCATTAATTCTCTTGTTAAAATTACTAAGAAACTCATTTTGAATAATCTAGCACAGAATCTATAAAACAGCTAACGAATAATAATAAAAATTTATTATATTACACAGTAACGATATCTAACGACTTGTAAGGAATAATATATTAGGAATTTTATTCACTAGATGTCTCTGTAACATGAAATAATTTTTAAAAGATGTTCTACAAATTATAATTCTTTATCAAAATTATCAAAAAATGTATTAGAGTCTTATATAATACAATATATAAAAACTANATTGTTCATCAAAATCGGTCCAGCGAGAGCTGAGATTGAGCGTTCACAGACACAAAAAAATAAAAAAATAAAAAAACACATCATAGTAAAATTAATACCTTCTCAGCTTCGCATCGAAGCTAAAAATCTAAGCACGGCAAGGACAACAACGGTCTAGGAAATAAATACAATTATAGCAATCTTCAATATTTAAAAACAATTACCTAACTATTTTTTCTTCTAATTTTTGGTTGCATTTTATATAACACTCCTGTTAAATTATTTTTTGCCTTTTTTATACTATTTATTGCTTTTTATTTCAAATATAGAATGTAAGTCCTCGTATAACAACATAATTATATATTTTATAAAACTATTAGGTATTTTTAAATTACGTCAAAAAATAAATCAGCTATCCATTTTTTACCAACTTATTTCACAAAATCAATTTTTTAAAAAGATTTTTTTTAAAAGATGTTAGTTTTGATGGAATTAGGTAGAATATGAGAATAAAGGACAACAATATAAAGTTGAAGGTTGTAAGAGAATAACATTTATTACGTGTGCCAAGTGTAAAGTATCGTTATGTCCTCACGAAACAACTGTTTTAAAATATATCATTAAGATACTAAAATTAATTAGATTCTAATTTTGATAATATTAGGGGAGTTTCTTTTATTTTTCATAAGTCTTTGTACATAATTTAACTTTGAGCTAAAGCAAATTTTTATCATTAAAATAATTTAAAAGTAATTTAACTGACGTCTATAATATCTGACATTTAGTTTAGTATTTTTATTTTAGTTAAAAATGAAAAAAGTATGATTTATTTTTTTAATGTTATATTCTAATATTATTACAATATGAATGCACAAATCATAATTTTTTAAAATATTAAATATATTATTCAAAAATATACTATTTAAATCTTGAGATTCATAAGGTGTTAGTCGGGTTAAAGTTTCAACCGTTTTTTAATTCTTTTATTTTTAGGTGAAAAGAATAAATTTTGTTTTATCATTTTTTTATTAACTGCTTCTTTTTTGTTATTAGCTTTAAATGGAATAGTTGGATTTTTATTGGATACAACACTAATAAATGCAGAGAGCGCTTCTAACTTTTTCAACGACCAAAAATGTTCAGGATTTTTTATATTTTAAATTTAATTTCTCATACTCATAGCTTTATCTTTAAATTTTTCATATACTTTTACATTATCCTTTAGAGATTGTGAACTTTTTAAATGTATTTACATTTTTTTTTCAGTGTTTATAGTAACATGAGCGTTTTATATTATATACTTCAATGTTGCAGTTCAATATCTAAATTTAAATTATTTTTTGAGATGTTTGATTAATATAAGTTCAATATTAGATAATATTACAGAAGTGATTGTTGATGTTTTTTCGGATTTGTCTGTTGTTCGGAATGTTGCCTTTATAATTACATGTATGTGATTACATATAATCTATTTCATTTGATAATCTTGACATGTATATTGGTACGAATATATAAATATTTTACAGTCGGTGCAAATCATAGGGCAACATTCATTACTCAGGCATTTCTTTATATTGTGCCATGTATGTTTGTTGTTTTCACTTTTAATATTCCATTCATCAGTATCACAATGATGTATGTTTAGATTAAGAAATGTACTCTTGGTATGTATTTTTTTTCTGTACTCGAATAGTAGATTTACCCTTAGTAAGTTTTTCAATTCTTATGATATTTTTGTCTCTTATAATATATCTCAATACTATGAGGCAAATATCTAAATGTTCTATCTTACAACCATTTAAATAGTGATATTTAATTGTTTTGTGCATAGCTTCTAACATTTGTTAAATGCATGTCGCAATTAATTCCTAGAGTTCTTCTAAAACCATGAGCCCATTGTTTAACCTTATTTCCATACACACGACTAAAGTAATCCCTGAACTCATTTGTGTCTGGGTCACTTAGCATTTGGTTCATTGATTCATTAAAAACAATATGAAACTGCGTATCATCTGTGATACTTTGAAGAACTTTTAAGGTTTTATAAATTATTTTTTGTTTTTCAATTCTTCGAGGTCTTTTTACTTTTGATAAGTTTGAACGTTATGCTGAATAAAAAGTATCGACTAAATCTGTCATGATTGTATTAGAACTTATTATTCCAGACACAGCTTTTATTGTAGCAAATATCACCGTATGAACTGTTGTATTTTAGCTTCGATGCGAAGCTGAGAAGGTATTAATTTTACCAACATCTGTTAATTTACATTTTTTTTTGTGTCTGTCACTACTTTTTCTCAGCTCTTACTAGACAGATTTTTCTCAACGATACGTCAAAAGATGATTAATTGTATCTAGTTGAAGACATTATCCTCAAAAATTGAAAATGACACCTTTTCTTTTATGGGGAAATAGCCGCCGAACTGAACAAAAATGTATTTTTTATGTAAAAATTACTGTTTAAAGTGTTAATATTTTGATATTTAAACGTGCCATAACTTTATTAAAAATGTACAAAGCAAAATAATTTTTTTTATATTGAAACCTTAGGTATTGTTCTTTTATTTGGTAAAATAAACAAGGCAAAGGGATGAACTTAAAAATTATTACATAGTTAATAATTCAAGAATAATGTGTAACTAAAGATAACCAGAAACAAAAATGTTTAAATTATATTTATTCTGTAAGTAATTGAGTGGGTTATGATAAAAAAAATTACCCTATATTATAAACATTTTCTATAATCACTATTCTTTTTGATTTATAGATTTATAACTAACATTTATTTCTTTTAAAATGTTTATACATTCCCTATGGTTTTGTAGATACAAGAATATTAAAAACCCTTTTTTAACTTCAATTATTTTACATTAAAATTCATAGAATAGAAAAACTAGAATTTTTTTTAAACTCATAAAAATTTCTATCGAGTCATATCAGGTCTATGTGGATAATTTTAATTAGTTCTAACTAAAGTATAGCGAAAAGAAGAAAAAGCTATGTATGGCATTAATAGATTTGGAAAAAGCTTATGATAGAGTACCAAGAGAGGTATTTTAGTTGGGATTAATGAGAAAAAAATTCCCAAAAAGGTACATTAATATAATAGAGGATATAAATGCTGGCACTTGTACCAGGGTAAATACCAGGGTATGGGTGGTGTAACAGGTGATTTTAGAGTAAGAGTAGAAATACACCAAAATTCATGTTTTTTATAATGATTGATGAAATTATTAGAGAAACATAAGTAGAGGTACGCCGTAGTTTATGTTGTTCGTTGACGATATAGTCGTTAAAATTTATTTCATAGCATCAATTTAAAAATATCGTAATTGGCTTGTAAAAAAAAATATTATCATTATCAATTACTATAATACAATAACAGTTTATTTACTATGGAAATTTCAGTCTAAACATTTATTATTTAATTATTTGCTATAGTACAATTTAAGGAGTAATTAATAGTGTTTTTATTTCTAAAAATATTACAATGTCATCGAAAAAAAACATATTTAGTAAATTTATAAATTTTATAAGAAAGGCGTGTAAAAGGAAGAATAAAAAAAATTGTGCTGATATCAAAAAAACAAATTCAAACATTGCTGCGAGTGGAGACTCGTTGTATACGGTAATGCCATCGAAGTGTACTACCAAAAAAAGGACAAATGGTTTGTAGTTATTTTGTATAATTGTAAGCACAGCTAGTAAGTTCATACATTATTTTTGTAATTTTCTGAAAACATTTAGTCCGATCAAATTTCTTACAAGATATTACAAAAACACAAACAAATTTTCTGAAAAAATAAAACATTAAACATCTTAATATAAATTCGTTATCAATTATACATTCGACTAAATATACGTGAATTTTGTTGATTATTAGCACATAGAAAATTACTCTTATAAAATGTATTAATGTATGAACTCATATATAAATCTATGCAAGACCTTATTTTTAATTATACACTTGAGTATATAAATGAAAAAATATTAAAATGGTATTTATTTAAATGCTAATTGATTAAAAAATTGTTTTTTTATGGTTTAATGTACTTTTTATATATTATATTTAATTTATTATGACCTCTTACACTTCCATACTATACTATTGATTAGTTGTTTTATTAAGTCCATAGTTTATAACTATATCTCATTTTTTAGATAAGGTTCAAGACTTAACGTCAGAATTTATCCATCCAAGAGAATCTATCCAGGGTTTTATAAAAAATGGTAGCGTACCAATTAAACGCGAGAATGAAAAAAAAACTATAGCCGACAAAATAACCGACTTAAAAGAGTCAATAAAAGATGAAATTTTAAATGACCCAAAAATTGAAATCATCATTCGAAGTAGTTATTTATATTTAAAATTATTATTCTAAAAAAACTTATTAATTTTCTTAAAGTATCCATAATTTATACCAAAATTGTATTTAATAGATCACATTCAAGGTTTAACATCCGAACATATCCAGGGAATGGTTCACAATTGTTTGATGGAATCTACCGATTACTTAATAAAAAGTAGTGGTGGTCAAAATATACGCAAGGAAGACGAAATAAACGAAAACAAAAAACTAACCGACTTAAAAAAGTCAATAAAAGATGACATTTTAAATGACCCAAAAATTGAAATCATCATTCGAAGTAGTTATTTATATTTAAAATTATTATTCTAAAAAGACTTATTAATTTTCTTAAAGTATCCATAATTTATACCAAAATTGTATTTAATAGATCACATTCAAGGTTTAACATCCGAACATATCCAGGGAATTGTTCACAATTGTTTGATGGAATCTACCGATTACTTGATAAAAAGTAGTGGTGGTAAAGATATACGCAAGGAAGACGAACTAAACAAAAACAAAAACCTAACCGAGTTAAAGGACTTAAAGCAAAATAATGGTAACTCTATATTTTTTAATTTTTTAGAAAAAAATGATATTATATATTTATAAATTTAAGTACAATATAAATATGTCCATTTTCCAGATTTCATTCCTTCAGCTCCGCCACTTCCCCAAACTCTACTAACGCTTCCAAAAACGGATAACAATATTAAAAACAAAGGTAAGGATAATAGACCAACTCTACCAATGAATCTATTGGATGAAATCAAACGTGGCATTAAATTGAAGGTAAACTTTTTTAACAATTAATAATTGAGTATGGTGCAAATTCTTTATTATAGCTTGATGTAAGTAATATAAAAAACCAAAAATAATTTCCTAAAAATCTATATTTTCTAGATGATTAAATGTTAATAAGTGTTTAAATGAAATTATAAATAATTTAATCCTGTGGATTCACATAATAATGCCACAAGCCTCCGCACACTCGTACAAATTTTTGCAATGAATTCATTATTTACGTTTTTTAATTTTTTTTTTTTTTTTTGTTATACATATGAAGTGAATATGAAATTAATATTAATTAATCACATTTTAAACACTTCATAAAAATAAAAAATTATGGTCTACCAACCAACTTAGAAAAGTTTAAAAAGATCTGTTTCAATATTGTTCCACTGCGGTAGGAACTTCACGTGTGCTATCCAAATTTTGTAGTTAACATTTTTTTCATGTTTTAATATTTTTTTTTCTTTTTGTCCCTTAATTTTCAGAATGGTTTTTTCCTTCGTGTTTTGACAAGTATGAAATTAATTACTAAAATTTAATTATGTTCCCTTAATTATAAACAAAACTCTTTTTATTACATAAATATCTCCAATATTCTCGTATATCTTATTTTTTATCTTAAATGATTTTTCCTAGTTTTGAAGTAACTGTCTTCTACATACTAATGTGTGTAAACCATTTATATCATCAAATACATTTTTTTTCTTTAAAATTCATTTATTGTCCGGGTATCATTTTTTTTTATATAATCAAGTCCCTCACTTAAGTGGTTGGTGAAATGATATTTATTTAACCGATATGTGGTAATTCCACAATCTGTTGCGTGACCTAAATAGTTAACATAAGTACAAGATTTTAAAATTTTTTTATAGCCAGTGAAATCAGTGGTTAAAATTATAGAAAAACCAAAGATAGAAGAAAAAGATATGCAACGAGTGAAACCATTGGATAATACTTGTATATATACATAAAAAATCACTGTTTATGTGATCTAAATATGAAAATTTTTCAGATTTCATTCCTCCAGCTCCGCCACTTTTCCAAACTCTACTAACGCTTCCAAAAACGGATAACAATATTAAAAACAAAGGTAAGGATAATAGACCAACTCTACCAATGAATCTATTGGATGAAATCAAACGTGGCATTAAATTGAAGGTAAACTTTTTTAACAATTAAAAATAGGGTATCGTTTGAATTCTATATTATAGCTTAATGTAAGCAAAATAATTTTCTAAAATCGATATAGTATTTTAATTATTATAGTTCAATTTTTTTTATCGTACATATGAAGTGGATCATATATTAATGGGTCGCATTTTGAACACTTCATAAAAATAAAACATATTAAACTAAAAAACAAGTTAGCTGAGATAATTTGATTTATTTTAATTATAATTAAAATAAAATATTTATATTTTTTTGCAATGAAGTTTTTTAATTTTTCGTCTTACTTATGAAGTGAATATGAAATGAATATTAATGAATTACATTTTAAACACTTCATAATGATATGAAGTATACACATCATAAATACATATATTTTCAAATTAATTATGCATTTTATTTTAATCTTATATGTGTTAATTAAATTAAATTTTTTTTCTTTAAAATTCATTTATTGTCCGGGTATTATTTTTTTTTATATAATCAAGTCCTTCACATTAGAGATCTGGTATTTATTTAACAGCTTAGTGGTGATTCCATAATCTGTTGCTTGACTCAAGTAGTCAAAATAAAATATTTAAAAATATATACAACCTCAGTACAAGATATTTTAACATTCTATAGCCGGTGAAGCCAGTGGTTATAGAAAAACCGAAGATAGATAAAAAAAATCTTGAAAGATTGAACCCATTGGATAATGCCATGTTCCGTCGTGTCAATATGATGTCGAGCAGTTCTAGCTCAGATTCTTCACCAGAAAACTTGTCTCAAGATGAATGGGATTAACCAAATAAAAACCAATCGAAGAACAAAACTAGGATAAATAATGTGAAATTATAATTCATAAATCAACCGCTTTGGGGCATAGTAGGAAGGTAATCAAAGGGTAACCACCAAGATGAGCTGAGGATACCGGTTTGTCTAATACGGACAGACAGCCGCACACAAACAGATCATCCCTTGACTTTGTACTTACTATGTTTTCAAAACCATTAACCAAATGCTAACAGCGATGTTGGAGGTTTTTGAAAAACACTTTTTAATTACAAATTTAATATTATTATCCATGTTAATATTTTCGAATTTTTTCTTTTTGTATACAATGTATTGTTAAGATTTTTTCTGATAATAAAAATAGTTAGAATGTATGGAGTTGTTTTTTAAATTAGTAAACATAAAAGAACAAGGAAAACCAAATCCATAGTCATCAATTACTAATAAGGTAACCAACTCAAAAGCATATTCATTGAGACTATGTATTTCATCTAGGCCAACTATTTTATTTTGCCCAAACTGTTTCAACACATGCATTTGACACAGATGATAACGAAATCTTTACACACTAAATATTAGTTGTAGGTATGTAACTTTTTTCATGCAAATTTTCACGAAAAAAAAAGACGTTTTCTTCTGCCTTCTTCTCAATACATATTTCAATGTTTGATACCGTGAAGAAAATATACAAAAATTCAAATGTTCACAAACTTTAAAATACTGTAATATTAGTAGTAAATTTACTACTGAACATTAGTAAAATAATTTTTTATCTAATTTTTCCCTAAAATCTATTCTAAAAAATTGCTATCTTGAAATTTTTACATTTTTGTACATTATTTCTAATAAATCGAAAAACTATTATATTTTATAGTTTTTATGTGTAAAATTTATTAAAAAAAAAAAATCAACGTAAAATATTAATTAATTCATAACTTATTAATTTTTCAAAACACCTTGGAACACTCTGTATATTAAGTATTTTTTAATCTATTATTATTATTACTTTTTATTAAGAGTAATAATTTATTTTTTGGATGAGGACAGTAAATTATTTTTACCTAGGATATCAAATTCCTAAATACACCTCCAAATATTATTAAGTATAAATTGAATCAAACAGATATAACATATTATTTACAAAATGACAATAATTAAGTATATTAATTGTTTTAAAATATATATTCTATAAGTGTGTATATTATAATATAATATTCTACACGACAAAATGGGTACAGTAATAGATTTTTAGCTCTAAAGCTATATATGATTTAGCAAAACAGATATATAATATTTTCTTTTTCTAGTGTTTAATTAATTGCATAATATAAGTATAAGAATAATAATTATTCTTATATTTATATTGTGCAATTAAAATGTTCTTAAATGTTATTTATTCAAACATAATTTTTAAACTTAGTAACATAGTATTAAAGTTACCTGAAATATAAAATTGAATGATTTCTTTATTGAATATTATACCATGATATGCATTTAAATGCTCAATCTGTATGGTTTTTTTTTAAACATAAGATTAGGGCAAATATTGCATGTTGAAGAATGCAAAATTTTATCTTGTATATTTTCTAACTTATGGATATATTTTTTTAACACGCTTTTATTAGTTTCACCTGTATGTATGTATGTATGTATACTTGTAACTCTCCAAGCGTTATCGCATATTCTGTCGTCTATGCCCTTGAGACTACACTGTCGTAACGCATTCACTCCACCCCGCTCACCGCTCGCCAAAAAACACCATTTTCCTGTATAATTTTATTTTTGGTTTTCGTACCCGTATACGTGTGCGAGTCATCAATTACATATATATATATATATAACAAATTTTTTTTTGTGACCGACACGGTCCCGCGTCGTATCGTTATACACGATACCCCACGACTCGTGCCACCTTAATCAGCCGTCGCCCTATTTTATGAGTATTTGACTGACCAACACCGCGCGTTATACGCCGCGGTGCAAAGTCCAGCAAGTGCCGCACGGCCGACGACGTCCCGCCGCTAATGATACCGTAGTCTTCTTCCCGTTGTCAAAGTGACATTGCTAACAAACCGATCCGCACTCGCGCACCGTCGTCATCAACGCTGCTAACCTTTTGACGGCCGAGGATCACGCCGGACATCGCGTCACCGATGCCAGCGAAAGTGACGCGATATTATGCGAAGATTATATATTCTTACCGCCGCCGCTAATATTAATATATACAGAGTGGCCCACCACTCACAGACAACTTAAATAACNGTGGCCCACCACTCACTGACAACTTAAATAACTTTTGATCCAGTTAATATTTTTAGCTGATTTTTTTTTTAAATAATAGTTATACGTTAGGTCTATAGCTATACCTTAATAATTAATTTTTTTACATTTTATTAAAAATATTATTTATTTTTAAATTTTAAATAAAATGTAAAAAAAAAATCTAAGATAGCTATTTTGTAGAGTAGAATTTAAGAAAAATTTTAGTAAAAAAATATCTTATTAATATTCAGTAGTAAATATTCTGTAGCGTTTTGAAGTTTGTAAAAATTTGAATTTTCATGTACTATTTTACGGTTATAAACATTGAAATACGTATTGAGAAAAGGACAGAAGAAAACGCTATCTTTTCAATATACTTTTGAATGAGAGTGATAAGTAATAATTGCCTTATCTAATTTCTTATCATGGTATTAATGCCAAGTTTGTAATGTATACACATTATCATCATATGTATACGCAGTAATCATGAAAAGATAGCGTTTTCTTCTTAAAATTTAAAAATAATTAATATTTTTAATAAAATGTAAAAAATATAATTATTGAGATATAGCTATAGACCTAAAGTATAACTATTATTTAAAAAAAAAA